AGACCAAATCAGCAGCCAACATGAAGCATTGCAGCAGCAAGTGCACAAACTAACAGACATAGCACACAGACACGACGACGAGATCGACGATCTCAGGGGCCTCTCAGACTACACGCACGAGCTGGTCATGGAAAGAGAATGCAAAGAAAGCAGCCTAAAAATGGTCATCAAGTCATGGCCCAAAGAAGCCAATTACTGGGACAGAGTTCGGGTGACAGACTGGCTGTTACAAAAAGCTCAGGTGGAGCAACAAACGCAGCAGGAGCACGGCTACTACAGTGCAGCCCGGCGTTTCACACTTTCCCCAGTCACAATCTTGACTTTTCAAGACGCCAATGCACAGCAGACATTCGAAAAATATGCTTACACCAACTTCTCAGGCAAACACCCATTACATTATTGGGATAGCCACGGCAACAGGCTCCAGCATTGGAAAGGAGGATGGCACAAGATTGTAATCACAAATTACTTGAGCAAAATCGACCTGACCATCAACATGGCCCTGACCACAGCAATGCACATACTGACAACCCAGCCAAGCACACCTTACACAGGAACAAACCACCTTTCACACCGAACAACGGACAAGCAGATCTACGACTTACAGGCCAGGAAAGTGATTGCAAAAGCCACCTACGACAAAGACAAGGGCATTTTGGCATTGATTACCCAAGGAGATCTCACCGACATGCTTCGCAACTACTGGCATGAAGCATGGAGAGAAGCGCATAAAGATCACCCTCGCTACCCATCGTACAACAGATACCCATATCCAGTGACATTTGCCGCAGCTAGGTTGGAAGACGAAAAGCCAGGGGCCACGGAGGAGTGACTACTGGCAAGACACGGCCACAGCAAAACAACGAAACACAGGCAACAAAGACTGACGCAACAACAGCAAACAAAACCGAAAACGAGGCAACAAGTGTCCAGTCAGGCTTGTCTGAGGCAAACGGACAGCAGGCAACAACATTGCAGGCAACAACATTTCAGGCAACAAGCATTTAAAGACGGCAACCAGCCAAAGAACAGCAACACATGCTGCTCTAAAAACAGGCAGCAAACCAGAAGATCCCCCCTCCTCTGGTGCAAATACCGCCAAAAGATTTCAAAGACAGCGAGGCCTTCTAGGAGGCACCCCGGGACAGGGCCCTTAGGGCTGACTGAGCGAAATCGGCGTCGTGTGAACCAACAAAGACCTTTCTATTTCAATAGGAGACATGCTGTAGCTTTGAAACAGAAGAGAAGAGTCAACCGTCGTTTGTGGAGATATTTTAAAAGAACACGACTCCGAGAACGAGCCAGACAGGTAGCGAAGGAAGTTTTGCACGGAAGCCATCTCTCAAAGAGAAAGGCTTTAACCAGAAAGGTGAAACACAAAATCAATAAGAAATGCAAACGCTGGTTTCAAGCAAACATCCTGCAGCACAAGCAGGGGTTTGAACTTTTTCGTACTAACCTCACACATCGTTACGATGAAGCGAGACCCGGCCCCCAGCTTAGTAAAAATAATACCAGGTGTAAGTTTAAACCAAACCAGATAATAAAAGTAGCTACGTTGAACGTTCGCGGTCTGAACCATTTGACAAAACGGGAGACCCTTGTACAGATTATGAAGCGAAATCAATACGAACTTATGTTGCTGACAGAAACAAATATAAACATTAGTTGCGTTGAAAAATGGGATGGGTATACAACTTTCTTTAGTTCCAGTATTGATCCAAAGATTCGTGACCGGGAGCAAGCTAAAAGAGAAAACAACCAAGTAGGTCGGGACAGACAAGAATGGACCAGCCACCGGCTGGCAGCCGATTTTGAGAATGCTGGAGTTGCTATTGTAGTCAAGAAATTCTCTCCTTACTTCTATCAAAGATGTTAAACAAGTTAATGGTCGAATAGTTTTAATCACTTTTGATTCGCATGGGTATGATGCTACCTTTATTTGCGCCTACGCCCCACATAGTGGCCACTCTGTGGACACCAAAGAAGATTTTTACGAGCAGTTGTCGCAGGAAATTGCTTTATGTAAAGGTAGATATTTTATCGGTGGGGATTTTAATGCTCGAATTCATTATGTCAGAGAGGGTGATTCTGATGTTTGCGGACCTTACATAGTAGGGAGGGGCATGGAGTATCTCAACAATATGAGCGAACAAACAAAAGAAAGTAGAGCTCTTTTCATGGGATGGTGTAAACTACACCGTCTTGCGATTTTAAACAGCCAATTCTCGAAACCGCCAGAAAAGTTGATTACCTATAAGGAGAAGACAAATGATTCAGATTTCGGACCCCCTTTTATTGCTGAAAGATATGCTCAAATCGATAACTGGCTGACAAGCAAAGATTGGAAATCCTTTTGTGACGATGTCCAAAGTCGACGTGATATAGCTTTTGACTCAGACCACCTTGTCCTTGAATCTTGCATCAGCATGAAGCCGCCGCCGCGACTGCTGGATACCGAACCCCTTCATAAATATTCGAAGCCATCTACCGATCAATGTGTAAGGTACAACCAAGAGTGCCATAAATTTCTTTCCAGCGACCAAGTGTGTTTTCAGACTTTGGTGCAAGGTATCCTGCAAGCGGCGGCGGGCGCTTTGGAGAAAGTACCCCCTGGAAAGAAAAAACCATAGATCATCACAAAAAACACTTGGGATAAAATTGAGAAACGAAACCAATGCAGAAGAAACGGAGCGCCGACAAACCAAATTCGCAGCTTAAATAAAGAAATTGCCAAATCTGCGCGGCTCGATCGCCGGAACCATTTGATTGAACAGTTCAATGAAAATCCTAATGATCCTAATAAGACAGGGTTGTGGAGAGCAGTCAGGCAGCTGAAGGCCAAGTTTATTCCACAATACGTCCAAATGAAAAATGGTGCCGGCGAACGAGTTCCGCTAACCAGTAGGGCAGAAACAATCGCAGAATACTTGGAAACAAATCATTGGATGAATGATTTTAACATAGGCATGCCCGATGAATCTGACATATGGAATAATAATGGCGCGGACGATGGACCGTTCAGATTAGATGAGTTACATGGGGCGTTAAGAAGGGCAAAACACAACAAACAACCAGGGCCAGATGATATACGGATGGAACTTCTAAAGTGGCTTGATGATGCAAACCGACAATGCCTGTTGAATTTGATAAACAAGTGGTGGATACAAAGGGAGGCCCCCAAAAGAGCTTTTTGCTGCCAGGGTTGTCCCGCTTTACAAAAAAGGAGATACAGATAATGCAGCAAATTATAGGCCAATCTCTCTTCTTAGCAGTCTTTACAAAATCTACATGATGATGATTCGGCAAAGAATGCAAGACGCCATCGATGATAAATTATCTCCTACGCAGTACGGGTTTCGCCCTAACAAATCCACATCACATGCCATATATGTCATCCGCCGAATTCAAGACTATGCTGAATCAAAGGGTACTCGTTTGAGCCTATCTTTACTCGATTGGGAAAAAGCATTTGATAAGATCCAGCATGATAAGTTGATATTGGCCTTGAAAAGGATGGGCTTTAATGCTCATTTTTGTGATGTCATTAAGAATTGTTACAGAGATCCGACCTTTTTTGTCAAAGATGCGTACGGTTGCTCCAGCCATAAGAGGCAGTCTGCTGGAATAAGGCAGGGGTGCCCTTTATCCCCTTATCTTTTCGTTATCGTTATGTCCTGTGTTGATTTCGATATACGTTCTAAAAGCAGCAGTAGGGTTGCAAATAATCGTATCCCCGGTCTTACTTTCGACATGGTTTATTATGCTGATGACACAATTTTGTTCTCTACCGACAATAGGGCTCTAAATGAATTATTGGCATTGACGGAATCGGTTTCAAGTAAGTATGGCCTGCGACTCAACAAAGATAAATGCGTGGTGGTACAGATGAATAATGATGGCTTGGTCCATTTCGCAAATAATGAACCGCTCCCAAAAAGGTTTGAAACTATGTATCTAGGCAACGAAATCAATAAGGAGGCAAACATACGACACGAAATCCTCAACAAAATCCAAGAAGTCCGGAAAATATGGTTTAGATTGTTACCGTACTGGAAGGCCACAAATGCAAATAAGAAGTGGCAGCTGTTGATTTTTGATGCTGTTATTAGATCAAAGCTCCTATACGGACTTGAGACAATCCATCTCACCCAAGCCATGTTAACCAAAATTGATGCCTTCCAGTTACGGAGTCTGAGGAAAATCCTTGGAATAGCAACGACATTTGTAGACAGACGCAACACCAACGTAGCAGTTCTGCAGAAATGTACAGATACAGCTTTTCCAGATCCGGGTGACCGCAGAACAGTTCAATTATTTAGCAGTTTATATTTGAATCGTAAAGCTAAATTGCTTGGTCATGTATTAAGATCTTCCAATGATGACCCGCTGAGACAAGTTTCTTTTGAACCAGATACCGCTGTAAGAGTTCACTACGGGAAAAAAAGATGTGGTCGCCCGCGACAGAATTGGTTGCATTATGCCAAAAAATATGTGTTTGAGGAAAGACTTAACCGAAGAGATTATAGCGAATCATTTCATGATGACTCATGTGTTTATAATGCAGCCATCAACCGAGAGTTTTAGCTTCGCAGTGTTCCTTCGCTACGCCAACGCCTTGCATTCTCGTGATGAACCTCAGTGCAGGGTAGGGCTTGGAAAAAAGATTATACACATATTTATACCTTTATACACGTAAATTGTAAACATACATATATATATATATACACAGTATATATCACATATTTGAGCGACGGCTTTTGCTGAAGCAAAAAGTAGTCTTGGGACGTACCTAGGTTTGTCGGAAACACCATATGACCACAAAACCAGGTATAGGAACACCCTAAGAACGAGGTAGGCATTTCATGCGTAACATTTACTGGTGCTGCTATATTTCTAGCGCTTCATTGCTTAACACATGGACTCCAACAAAGAGGTGATGTGCGCAGAGGAAATACCAAGAGCACTGTTTCAGTGACATGCGATCTCTTTGAACCGAGGTTCATCTACCACCCTCACATCTTCTTTGACAAGCACCACGTCCTCCACAACTCTCTATGAATTGGTAGTGGTGCCAGAGACTTTGAATGGCACCGTGGGTGGCGAGATCATCACAAATTCCTTGCAAATTGTGCCTTGGCTTGCCATAATTTGCCATGGCCATCCCTGCGCCCGAAGCATGTCACACGTCTCAGGTGGTGGACAGCCTTAACAACAACACGGTGGAGTTTAAGGCATCCACGCCGACAGGGGAGGTGACCGTTTTGAAGTTGCAGCCCACCGCGAACGCCGCGAACCCCACCCAGAGTGACTATCAAAACGTGCAGGCCACGGAAGGGGTTTTTGACAATGTGACGACATGCCACTGATCCATTTTCTAAAGGTTCAAACCGGATCTCCAGGATTGATTTGCTGGTATTCGTGCTATATACACTTCGATATTTTTAGGTTGCAATATAGGGAAGCAACCATTTTGATAATCTTTGAGTGACAAACTATGATATACTTTTAAAAATGTGATAGCATGCCTGGGTCAACGACTCCAAAGGTAACTCTCATGTTATTGAATGTTTCTTTTAAAGTCTGCTTTCAGATTAAAACTGTCCTTGATGCTAGCACATACATCTTTGGACATTGATCAATGTTGACCAAGCAAACATATTTTTCCGGCACAACAAACACATTTTTTTTGGGGGATCTATCTCTGAATAACTTTGATAGACCGGGGAAACTTGAGATGCAGGTTTCACGAGGGGTCAATCATGCAGTTGCGAAGGAACATATAGAATGATTCTAATGTTTGAAGATGTTTGAAACATTTTTTGTTTAATGTTTTTTTTTAATGGCATGGCTCGAGTCATTTTCTAGACAGACAGTGGTCAATAATGCACCCTTTGTTAGTGCTCTTTTCTGCCTGTGTGTGTAAAACAGGCATGGAAAGCTCTTGAATGATCCCGATACAGGGTCCCCAAAAGGAAACAGAAACAGGATAGTATAGATTATATGTATTCCTCATAATTTCTAAATATTTCATGATATTTCTAGGTTTCCAACTTTCAAAAATTTGTTTGGGGATTGTTTTTTGTTATGGGAAACGGGGGATGAGTTTTCACTTTGTTTTATGTTCACCTGCGTGCACCAGAGCATTTATTTGAAGGACATCTAAGACTATCCTTATTTCTTTGGTGGTTTGTAATATGTGTTATTTTTCATTCTACCCGGAATGTCGATCCCAATTGACTAAAGTTTTTAGGGAGATTGAAACCACCAACCAGTTATGTATCATAGATGTCAATGTTGCGGAGTCGGAATGGCAACCTCAATCATGTCAATGTAGCACATTGTAGCACCGGGTGTCAATGTGATCCCAAATGTGTTCTGAAAACTGCAGAGGCCTCAAATTGTCTTTTCAAAATGGAAGGTGTCTACGGTGCTATCGGGGCAAATGCCAGTGCTCCTACCAAACACCGTGTTGGAGAACCTGGAATCTCGGAGTTGAAACGTGGGGTTGCGAGCGTGGCCAGCTTGCTGAAAATACAGATCTACAGACTGATTTATGGTCGTAGTGTGTCGTAATACATACATCATCATACATAATCATACATCATCATACATCCATTTCATCATCATTAGAATTAGAATCATTAGAATCCAACTCATTTGAAGCATTCGAGTCATTACATTTATTCGAATCACCGAAATATCATCCGAATCACCCGCATTACATCAACATCGTCCCATCAGCAACATCGTCCCTCCCACGCCATTGCTCAACAACGCGGGATGTGGTCACATGTGGTGACTCTTCTGGGCACCAGTTTGGATACAAAACCCATCAAAACCCTATGTTACGCATGTTTAACTGCTTCAAAGCTGTAGGGAGGTTCGACGCCAAATGTGGGCATCTCATAAATTTGGACCCTTTTGGACTCCCGGAATCCCATCATCAATGTGATCATTTCCCCCATCAAAATCGCCAGAAGTTGGGGTAATATTAATGGGTATTGCACATTCCTTGGTGAATTACATCCTCATGTTTGTTGTTTTTTCTGTTACATGTCTGGTAAACTTGCTAAAGCACGGTAAAGCTGGATTCTGTGAGACTGGGAACAAGATCCTGGTGGTCACTGAGCTAGCTGACACAGCTCGGGGCCCCAGTTTCTAAAGACATTCGAAGATGAGCAAAATGACTTCAGCAGTGCATGAAACTATGGTGAAGCATGGTGAAAATATGTGACACTGATGAAGCTGATGTTGTTGTTTGGCCCTCAAAGATTAGGTACTGTATCTATTTTTCCAGCTGTTCGTAGCTGTTCATGTTCAGGTTGCGTACCAAGTTGGTGAAGGCTATCCTGCCTGACGAAAAAGTGATATCCTACACGGTGAAACAGGAGTTGATAAGGTGGATATGTGATTATATGATGCATAGTGCAGCATCATGATGAGCGCATATTTTAATGGATTGGTTCAAGGGAACATCTACATCTTCCCTTGAAATGTTTTTTTGGGTAATTTCCCTGAAGCCAATCCATTGAAGATCACGGCATGAGATCTTTCCTGAGGCCGTTGAACAGTTACCTCAAGATAGTGATTCGGTCGGAGCACAAAACGCACGAGGCTTCGATGGGCTGCGCTTTGCATCCGGGCCAGTCATAAAACCATTGGTACAGGGCCCAAAAAGAACAGATTTGCATAGATTTACATATGGATTTTTGATGATTTATATATTTACATAAGTTTACATAGATTTACCTATCGATCGATCTATCTATCTATCTATCAATCAATCAAACTAATCTATCTAATCTAATCTAATCTAATTCTAAATCTAAATCTAAATCTAATCTAATCTATTTTTTTTCTCTATCTAACTATCTCTCTATCTCTCTATCTCTCTATCTCTCTATCTATCTATCTATCTATCTATCCATCTATCCTATCTATCCTATCTATCCTATCTATCCTATCTATCCTATCTATCCTATCTATCCTATCTATCCTATCTATCCTATCTATCCTATCTATCCTAGCTATCCTATCTATCCTATCTATCCTATCTATCCTATCTATCCTATCTATCCTATCTATCCTATCTATCCTATCTATCTTATCTATCTTATCTATCTTATCTATCTTATCTATCTTATCTATCTTATCAATATGATCTATCTAATCTATCTAATCTATCTAATCTATCTAATCTATCTAATCTATCTAATCTATCTAATCTATCTAATCTATCTAATCTATCTTATCTATCTTATCTATCTTATCTATCGAATCTATCGAATCTATCGAATCTATCTTATCTATCTAATCTATCTAATCTATCTTATCTATCTAATCTATCTAATCTATCTAATCATTCGTATACAGTCTGCCATCCATAGCCATCCATGTGCTAATCCATGTCCATCATCGAAAGCGAATTATGGCGATCTGAATCTATCTCATCTATCCCATCTATCTCATCTATCTCATCTATCTCATCTATCTCATCTATCTCATCTATCTCATCTATCTCATCTATCTCATCTATCTCATCTATCTAATCTATCTTATCTATCTTATCTATCTTATCTATCTTATCTATCTTATCTATCTTATTTATCTTATCTATCTTATCTATCTTATCTATCTTATCTATCTTATCTATCTTATCTATCTTATCTATCTTATCTATCTTATCTATCTTATCTATCTTATCTATCTAATCTATCTAATCTATCTAATCTATCTAATCTATCTAATCTATCTAATCATGCATCGACAAGCTAGTGCTAAGCGAGCTAGTCGAGGAATGCGATCAAGCGATGAATCTATCTAAGCTAGTCGAAAGCGTAGAGAAGCATCGATCTATCAATTAGCGAAAGTCTAGAGATCCATCGAAGCGAGCGCAATTAGCAGATGCTATCTACGATCTATGCGTAATATGCCGATCGATCAGATAATCAGATCTATCCGAGTCTATCCGAGCATCGGATATATATATCTATCGAGAGATCATAGCTGATTACCGATGATATGGCCGATATATCCTATCTATCCTATCTATCCTATCTATCCTATCTATCCTATCTATCCTATCTATCTATCTATCTATCTAATCTAATCTATCTAATCTAATCTAATCTAATCTAATCTAATCTAATCTATCTATCTACCTAATCTATCTATCTATCTAATCTATCTATCTATCTATCTACCTATCCATCCATCGATATATCTATCTATCTATCTACCTATCCATCCATCGATATATCTATCTATCTTATCTATCTTATCTATCTTATCCATCTTATCTTTCTTATCTATCTTATCTATCTTATCTATCTTATCCATCTTATCTTTCTTATCTATCTTATCTATCTTATCTATCTTATCTATCTTATCAATCTTATCTATCTAATCTATCTAATCTATCTTGTCCATGAAATCTATCTTGTCCATGAAATCTATCTAATCTATCTTGTCCATGAAATCTATCTTATCTATCTAATCTATCTAATCTATCTAATCTATCTAATCTATCTAATCTATCTAATCTATCTAATCTATCTTATCTATCTTATCTATCTTATCTATCTTATCTATCGAATCTATCGAATCTATCGAATCTATCTAATCTATCTAATCTATCTAATCTATGAAATCTATGAAATCTATGAAAGCTATCTAATCTATCTAATCTATCTAATCTATCTAATCTATCTAATCTATCTAATCTATCTAATCTATCTAATCTATCTAATCTACCTTATCTTTTCTTATCTTATCTCATCTTATCTCATCTTATCTCATCTTATCTCATCTTATCTCATCTTATCCCATCTTATCTCATCTTATCTCATCTTATCCTATCTTATCCTCTCCTATCCTCTCCTATCCTCTCCTATCCTCTCCTATCCTCTCCTATCCTATCCTTTCCTATCCTATCTATCCATCTATCCATCTATCCATCTATCTATCTATCTACCTACCTAATCTATCTATCTATCTATCTATCTTATCTTTCTTATCTTTCTTATCTTTCTTATCTTTCTTATTGCGAATAGAGTGTAGGCTACGGACCATTGTACACTACCACATAATTCAGCCCTCAAAGATCCACAGCCAGGGGGGTACATCAACTCGCCCCTTTGGCTCAAGACCCACTGCAGTACCGGAAAAGAGCAAAGCCATGCGGAAGCCGCTATTCACTTGTCATCGCCATTGAAGACGACTCCTTCGAGAACCAACATCAATACATAGTCGGAGTGACAACCTCCGATTCACAGGTTATCAGCCGTAGGACTCCGATTCACAGCCTACGAGCGGGGGGGCCGCGGGCCTTACAGATGACTGAACAGGATAGCAGCGATAATGCATTTTCTTTCTCTGGACATGCCGTTGCACCAGCTGCCGGCACGCAGTCAAATTCTTCACAGAGTATCGACACTGGTGGAAGCGATGCCTCAGAACTGAGAACGAGCCAGCCCAGGCGACCTCTGGTTGCTCCTAGAGGGAGACAAATTTCGACAATGCAAGCAATTGAAGATAGGGACAGCACACCTGGAAAGAGAAGATCATCTGCACGACAATTGTCGCCTCCGATGACTCCAAGGACCAAGGCAAAGACTACGTCGTCGAATCCGCCTTCACCGATTCAGGACGCTACTCCATCAGGAACAGGATCTTATCAACAAGTGAACGCCCCATCAAGTGGTAGCGACATCTTCACTGCCTATCAGAGTGAATTAGCTGAATACAAGACATCACTGGAAAGGGCCACTGAAGAAGAATCCGTACTTCAGGCAAGATTGAGCGAGACGACAGCATATGCCTATCAACAATTTAATTTCCTGGAAAGCACCACTCATCAAGAGATGATGTCGATGACCGAACAACTCCAGATGCTGAACTTCGAGTTACAGGCTGCACAACAAGAAGATGAAGGTGCATCCTACAGGATCGAAGAGTTGGAGAGGTATCAGGCTATGTCGAATGAAGCTGCATCTCGTTTGGAATTCAAATATTCACGACTACGTTCGGAATTTGATGAACAAATGGGACAAGCGAACGCAATTATGGTGCATGTGGGCGCTGATGCGAATGCTCACATCAATCAACTCAGACTGGAACTGGAAAACGCAGAGATGAATGCCAAGCAGGAAGCTCTAGCGGTCGGCTATGCTAACGACCAGACATGTGCTTTACAGATCGAGGTGCTCGAGGTTGCTAATCAGAACCAGACGATGAAGCACACCATGGCCATGAACGTCAGGCGACTGGAAACTGAGCTCGATGCTGCTGACATGAAGAGGGACGAGATCATGAAGGAGTTCCGTAGTAACATAAGATCTGAACATGACCGTTATGCAGAATGTGAACATCGCTTAGCTTTGGAAGAATCGCAACTTCGATTGCAGGTGATCCACAGTGAGAACTTACAATCTCGACTAGCGATTTCTGAGAACAGGGTTTCTGAAGAATCTCTAGCTGAATCAGGTGGCATGCGGGACATGAGGATCATGGGACTACGTTCTGAACTACACATGAAACAAAGTCTTTTAGATCGAATGCAACAGCAACTGACTGAATCGAAGAATCAGTATCATGAACTTTCCTGTCAACAAGCCAGAAGATCATCACCAAGCAGATCACCGCATGGAGGACCTCTCTATGAGATGTACATGCAAGCCGTGCGTGAACGTGACAGCTTGAAGGAATCTAAGGCTGAGGTTGACAAGTTGTACTTGCAGAACAGATCTGAACTCATTGACACTGAGGACCTGCTCAAAGTCTTCCAGCGAAACTTTGATGAAACTGGTAAGAAATATCAAGATGCTCTGAACAAGATCGATCACGTGAGCAACAATCCGAATGTGACGAGTACCTTGTTTGACAGTTTGCACAATGAACTCAATGACAGGGATACAGCTATTGCTCGCCTTCATACTGAACTTGAGGCCCAAAAGGACTCTCTTGAGCGTGCTCACAGGGATGCAGGTAAGTCCATCAAGATGTTGAACGACAGAAGACTCGTGATCAAAGGTGCGACTGACTATTCCATTCCTGAAAGCCATTTGACCGAGATGCATCAATTGGCCAATGAGCGTTACGCTGAGGTAGAAGAGATGTCGAGCACCATTGCTGCCCTGAAGT